CACACATGACAAGAAGATGAGGTGGCGGGGCAAGGGCCAGAGAGGGTGTGTGTGTGTGTGCGTACCTGTCGTGCTGCAGCCGGAAAGCCGACGAGGCTGCGGGCGTGGAGCGCGGCAAAGTACGCGTGCAGCGCGTCTGTCGCGCCCGGCAGGCAGCGTTCGACGCGCACGCCGATGAAGTCGCGGTTGTACGCGCCTCCCTGCTGCGCGTAGGTGTCCCATCCTACAGTGCGCATTTCACCCGTAGACGCCACTGCAAGCCCAGCGGCAGCTGCCCAAGGGTCGGGCGTGAACCTTGGGTGGGGATGTGTGTGTGCCGGCCAGCGGGGATGTGGCGAGGCGTTCACCCGCCGTGCCGTAGAGGTACTCTTCGGGAGGCACAAAGTTGACCATGCGCGAGCCTGGCTTGTCGAGCGATCCCAGGATGTTCATGACCCGCTGCTGGCCGTCGCTCGTGGTGTACCTCACCGCTGCGTGTCCAAAGCGAAACAGCGCAGTGTGCAGAGCGATACTCTTTGGGCTGTCGGTGCACGTCAGATGGTCTGCGAGCAGTATCTCAAGATCAGGCGGTCGACTCACGCCGAGCGCCACGTCCACTTGCCGTAGGACCTCCGCCTTGTTGTCGATCGCCTTGCCATCCCGTGCGCCGAGAACGCCGCTACCCGATTGCGATGAACTAGCAGCCTGAGCACTGCAGAGCCTCCTCCGAGTCAGATGAAGCACCAGCGGCGGCGGTGACACTGAATAGCCGGACTTCGGTTTGGGAAGCCGCATGCATGAGCTGTGATGTGCGCCCAGCCGTGCGACTGCAGTCAGGCACAGGCAAATATTTTTTGCGCAGACTAACCCTCGAAGAACTGTGTTTACTTTAAGGTGGTAGCAAACCCTTGGCGCACGCATATCTTGGATGGCCGGCATGGGGCCTGAGGCGTCGCCCATGCTTGCCATGTGCAAGTAGATGGTAGAATGCACTAATAGGCACGTCGCGCAAGGTCGGGATCGCAAGTTATGCCCGCATCAAGCGCCGGTTCAGAGTCGTCCAGAGTCGTGGCACACACGCTGTGGCAGGCCGTGTAGCCACTGAGATGGCCTTATGACGACCCCATTTCGACATCGTCCCTGAGGCCTCTGCTCATGAGCTCTATGCGGGAATGACTGGCTCAACCAACTGATCACAAATTCCCACGATATCTCACAAAGCGCCAAAAGTCTTCATCGTGACGCGCGCGAAACTTACGCGGCAAGAGATTGCTACCACCTTCATTCTTTTGTAGAAGGGCGTCAGAAGAGTCGTCCTTGCGCGAGGAGAGCTCGATAAACTCGAGGGGCCGAAATATGCCGCGAGGAGGGCAGAGTTGCGCCGAAATGCGGGAGAAGCCGCGAGAGCAAGGGATCGGCAGGCGGCGGCGGCGTCGCAGGACGAGGCAGACGAGAGCGACGCGACAGAGGAGGAAGCGACAGGAGGGAGAACGACGAGAGTGGGACGACCGCGAGGTGGCATGAAGGTTGCAGCGTCCAGCGAGAATCGGCGAGAGACTGCGAAGAGAGATAGAAAGAGGGCCGGTGCCCGTAGCGGCGGTCCTCGACTGGGGATCGGCCGCCGCTCGCGAGTTGCTGCAGCAGCGGCTCGGCGGCAGCCAACCCGACTGGATCATCGCGTGCGACTGCATCTTCGAGTCACTCTTCGGCTCCACCGACGGTGTCACGTCGATCTTCCTGCTCCTCCGCGTGCTCGAGCTCCTGTGCTCGCCCACGACTCGTGTGCTCGTGGGACTGGAGCGGCGCACGGGAGACGGTGCCGAGAAGTTCCTCGCCGCCGCCGAGGGCGCGGGATTCGTGGCGTCGCTTCGCCGGCGTCACGGGCGCGTCGTGATTTTCGAGATGGGGCGGACCCGCATGCCCCGTGCGCATGCCGATGGGGCGACATAGCGACGCATTGCACAGTGCCACATATCTTACTATGTAATCCACCGCTGTATGTCTGCTCACACTGACATCATGCCTAGCGCGAGAAACCCTGAGCCCCGGCTGGTGTCGAGGTGTTTGTGAGGCCCGGTCCTGGTCTCGCGGGTACGGGTGTAAGGAAAGCGTCAGGGGTTGAGCGATGCCGACGGTCGGGGAGATTGCCTTGTGTGAGTCGATCGCACTTTGAGAGAGGCTGGAGAGAGGCACGGCATGTACTTTACTTTCCACTGTTTTATCACATACGGCTTTACACGATACACAAGTGTGCAAACTCACTCAACGCAGTAGCTACATACACAAGGAGCCGCCCGCATGTGCCATGTCTCCACTCTCGTCGGCCTTCCGGGGCGCGCCCGCGGAGAGTGCCAACCACGCGCCGCAGCGCAAACAATCACGCTTATGAACTGTACAATGTATCTTGGTACACTATTGAATCACACCTAATCAACAGCGAGGAAAAGAAGTATGCACACCAATGAACAGGGCGAGAGAGCTTGTGTCCTCCTCAATCAAAGCAATGTCTGCACCTCGACTCTAGGCTGTAAAAAACATGGCCTTGGAGCAGTCGGCAGGTGGCTCCTTGTTGAGCGTGACCTTGATGTTCCTTGCTGAGACGGTGCATGACTGCGTCGACGACTTTGACGGACAACCCCCTTTGCCGTATTGCCCATCGTAAGCTGCCCAGATGTCGCTCCGGAGCTGGAATTTGCACTCACCCTGCACACATCCGACTGTCTTGTACCAATCGCTGTACGTTGTGGAGGACACGTACTTCTCACACGTGCCCTTCGATGTCTGATCGCACACTCCCATCGTGGCCTTGCCGCTGCTGCCGGGAGTTTGATCGACAGTGAGCGTGTAGTGGAGCTGCATGCCCGTCGCCGGGTACTGCTGTTCAAAGCAAATCGAGTCGCCGTGCTTGTTGTGGCCACAGGTGTTTCCTCCGAGGCTAGTCGCCACAGTGCTTTTGCCGGTGTTCATGCACGTTTCGACGAAATCGATCTCGCCAGACGCGCCTTGATTGCAACTTGGGGGGGACACCCTGTTGTCGCACCAATTTGGCGGGGTCGGGGTGATCCACAGCGGGGCAACCCACGTTTCATCGCAGTTCTCGATCGCAATGTCCGCCTCGATCGAAACGAGTTCCTTGAGCGGGAAATCGCAGCTCCTCACCGCCTCGCACGCTGGTGTATCCCACTTTGCTAGCACGATTGAGGTGGGATCGCCGGAGCACTGTTGGTATGTCGATGGGTCGGGAATTGGCGCCTTGCAGTTGTTGTTCACCTCGCCTTGCTCCAACTGCTTCCACGCAGAGGTGAGCTGGTTGAATGGCTCAGTCTTGCCCTCGCAGAGCTTCACCGATGGGGAAGGCGAGGGCGAGGGCGAGGGTGAGGGCGTAGGTTCGGGTCCGTGCTCCATGCTGCACACGGCAAGGTTAGGGCCGATGCACTGCTCTTCGTTGTCACCGCTGCAGATGTCGTTGTGGATGTTGTAGCAGCACTTCCCTTCTCCGAACTGCGCGTCGGGACAGGTGCTACACGTGCTCGGGCAGGCAGGCAGAGCAACGCCCGCCGAGGAGTCGAGATCGACCACGCGGTTCTCCTGCCCGTCAGGTACGATGATGGGCAGAGCGTTTGCGACCCCAGCGCCGACGGCGATCAGCATCAGCTTCGAGAAGACCGGCATGGTTAGATCCTGCGGAGACAGTGAGAGACACGGTGAGGCAGGCGCGATCGATGGTGACGGAGGGCGCATGGTGGCAGACAATGGCAGACGACGCGGCGTGGCAGGGACAGTGGGAGGCGAGGCGCGCGTTGGGGGTGGAGGGCGCGCAGTGGCGGTCAGTGGCAGACGGCGTGGCGTGGCAGGGCCTGGGCTGGCAGCTCACGATGGATGTGCGATGTGAGAGGTCCTGCCGATTTTCAGCGGCTCCTTCCAGGATGATACAGTAAGGGGCGTTGTCATGGACGCCCTCCTGCCTGCAATGGTTGGATGATTTTCTTTAGGTTATGATGTTGCTGGCAAGACAGAGAGCTCGGACAACATCACAGCGGCTACACCAACCGCGCCCCCCACCCCCCACGCCCCCACCCGTGTGTCAATCAACGTGTCAAGCCGGTGTCCATCCAGCTTCCAGGGAGACAAGACGAACTAACAAAAAAATCATTGAAATCATTGCTAAAAATCTCACGCAAGACGTGTCGTCGAGGGAGGGGTGTGTCGAGAGTGGTGTCTAGTGTCGAGCGGTGTGGTTCACCGCTGCCTCAGGGAGGAGATCTCATCCCTCTGCTATAGCACGTGTTCTTTTCGCACACTGGAGTACATAGCTCCTACCCCTCGCCACAGACAAGGCACAATCGCTCCGCCGTCTCTGTTTCCATAGCCTCTCCCTTGAGCATTGGCGTCTCGCCATCGCCCTTTGCGTCCGGCTTCGCCGGCAACGGCGGCAAGTGTTACCCTTGGCTGAGCACATCTACGTACCTGCGAGCTAGTCTCTCCGCATTCTCTCCCCTAGTCATCCGCCCGCGCCGCGCGCCATCTAATGGGCGTCTATGGGAGGTGAAGTGTCAGTGCGAGGATATTGTAGCGGAGAGAGACATAGAGAGAGAAACATGTGCACAATACCTCTCAGCCTTAGCTCGACAGCCTAGCTAAGCCCATATATGAGCGATGCCGTACAGCAGCTTCGTGCTTAATTAAAACAAAGAAAACTGTATTATTAACAACGAAGGCGCTCTCAAACAAAGAAAACCGCGCCTTGCACCGCCACCGCTGATCCGGCCGCATAATGCTCGCGGGGTTAGGCGTCAGCACAGCCACCTTCAACCCAGCCGACTGCGATTCGTCGTACGCGCTGCTCGAGCGGCCAAACGCCGAGTGGCCTGTGGGCGCCACCGACACATTTGCCGCTTCGACGCGCGAGAAAAAGACGCGAAAGTGGCGCAAGATGGTGGAGCCCTGGTGGGATCACGAGCTGGTGAGCGTGCCGTCGACGCACGGGCAGCGCAACATCACCATCGCGCTGCACCGCTGGAGGGCGCGGCACGCAGTCACGCTCGGTGGCGGGCGGCGCCCCGCACTCGTGCTCTGGGTGCACGGTGGCGGGATGGTGCTGCCGAGCGGGCGGCTGGGCGACCCGCAGATCGGCATCCTCAGGCGGCTCGGCCCGCAGCTTCTGATTGCCGCCGTGGAGAGCCTAGATGTGTGGGGACTGCCGACCCGTCAGTCAGTCCGTCAGTCTTACACACCTCCTATCGTAGCATGTGGAGGACGGGCCACACGCACACACACGCTGCGCATGATTGGCTCGGGATCCGACACGAGGCACACACACGCGGCGCCGTTAGCCCTCTACTCGCAGGCCTCGCACCCGACGAACACACGATACCGTACACACCCTGGCTTCCACATGACAGAGGTGCTTGCCCCACCGCCCTGCGTGTGCGGAGAAGTTTCCGAGAAAGTCCACCTGCCCTGACCTTAGGTCGAATACGCCCTCGCTCCGAGGTACCCCTGCCCGGCGGCTGCGGAAGACGTGATCAACTCGCTCGACTGGGTCCTCTCTCACGCGGCGGCGCTGGGAGGCGACCCAGAGCGCGTGGCTGTGATGGGCGAGAGCGCGGGCGGGAACCTCGCCGCTGTCGCGGCGCTGCACACGCGGCCGAGGCGGCGGGAGTGGGAGTCCGTCTTGGAGACGGCGCATTCCTTTTCGTAGGCGCTGCACGCGGCGCGGCGCCGCCTGCCGGTGCGCTTTGCGGGCGTCTTTTACCCGATGGTGGAGAACGCGGTGGCGAGCCCGAGCTACAGCCTCTTTAGCCAGGGGCCGGGCTTGAGGAAGTGCGCGATGGAGTTCTTCTGGCGCGCGGCCTGCTCCGCGCTGCCCCCCGACTAGCGAAGCCGCCCGCACTCCCCCCAATGAGCCACTCCGTCTTCATCCCGTTTCTTGCATGGCTCACTTCGGCCCCCCTCCTTTGGAGCACTTGGAGTGCGGTCAGTCACCGCACATCCGGGGCCGGGGGGCTAAGAAGCGCACCCAGCGAGCCAGACACACGGCCCCCCCTCAGGCGCGCCTACTGCCCGACCGCCGAGGCCGGGCAGCGCTAGATGCCGCACGCGCTTAGCGTCGGCTTATCTCGGCGAATCTAGACCGAGACCAGCCGAGACCAGCCGAGATCAGCCGAGATCACAACGCAGGCGTGCAGCACGTGGCGATGCACACCGCTGAGCGGCGACGCGCTCGCGGCGGCGGCGACGGGCCACCCGCCGACCCTGGTGATCAGCTGCAGCTCCGACGTGCTGCGCGACGACGGAGTGAGGTACTGGCGTCTATCCCCTACCCCCACGTTACCCGAACCCATCCCCTACGCACACGGTACCCGAACCCATGTGAGGTACTGGCGCGCGCTCGTCGCAGCGGGCGTGGCGGCGGACCACCAGCAGGTCGAAGGCAGCCACGGCTGCACGCACGCGGCGAACAGCTCGACGCGGGACCGGTACCTCGACAAGCTGCGCGTGGCACTGGGACTAGATTGATGAAGATGAAGATGTGCCTTTGTAGAGAGGAGATGTAGCCTCGCGGCCCCAGCGGCATTACAGATGGTGACTGGCGGGCGTTTTTCATTGCGAGGGCCTTTGGCTAGTTCCATTTCACTCTGACACGCTAGCAATCTTGAAAACGTCCAACGGAGCTCCGTGTTGCTCCCAGCGCCCTCCCCCGCGCTTCCTGCGGCCATGGCCGATGATACTAGTATGAGAGGTCATCTGGCTACCGCGAGCGCGACTCAACTCGCCGACGTCGTCCGATGATTGTGCCTCAAAGTCAGCCTCCGGAGGCTATCGTGGGGTCGAGCCGGCAGTAGCCGTGACATGTGGTTCCACCACCCCTCGTATGCTTTGCCTCTGACCGCCACCGTTCCCAGGCTGCCAAATGGGATGGAAAGGAAGGCTCGGCGAGCGTATAGATGCGTGCTCGACCTCGTCGTGGCAACCTGCACGGCTGCGCTGGTAGGCGCGATGAGCGTCGTGCCACCTGACCCGAGACGGGTCGCAGGCGTCGTACCGAGCGCGTCGAGACCGTGTCCTGATGTGATCTGCACGGGTGAGTCACGTCGGCGTCAAAGGAGCGACGTGCGACCTGTCAGAGCTTGATCTCCGATCTCAGCGGCGTCGAGTCGTCTCCGGCGCGCGACAAAGGTACATCCCCAGGACGCGCAGAGGCAGCTGCGATCCTTCCTAGTGGACGAAGTCACTGCGCGTCATATGGTTACGTCACCCCCTCTTAGCTGGGGTTCTCGCTGCCTATTTAAATTCAATTCAATAATTTTTTTTTTTGCCATGAACCATGTTCTCTTTATCCACCTAAATCTACCCTCTAAGAACCTTTCTATTCTGCAGACACACATCAATCCTTAAACTATGTTCTCTTATGCTTTTCCA